GGGTGTAACAAGAGAAGTCCAAGTGCTGTGTGCAGACACCTGGGTAACCAAAGCAGCTGCTGCCTGGGAGCTCAAGAGGCAACTCTGCACTACACAGACAGCACATAGGAGTGATGGCTTTGTCAGACAGAAACGAATCTGCGCTACTTCCCCTTCCCCTTTTGCATGGCTTTAGGAAGCAGCAGAGACTAAAGTAAGCAAGGAAGCCATTGGTCATTCCCCCTCATGTTGTCCTCCAGAGACAGGGGACAGAGAGGCAACGTGGTGCTAGAACTACACATCCCCACGTGCCCTTTTCTGCCTCCAAGGAGGTCCCACAGGAGTTCTGTGATACAAGGCACTGCATAAGCTAACTTCTCAACAGGATCCTCAGACATTCTTCCCTCAGCTTCCATTTCTACCACCCGCTGCAAACAAATCGGAAGGGGAACAGAAGATAAAACGAGTTAACAAGTTATTGAATTAGGCCATGCCTCTGCCAAGGGGCAGGGCATTGGAGGTAAATCCAGAAATTTCCAAGTTTACACGTTCTTGTCGCCAATGACCAAAAGGTCTGGCTTTGACTGAAAAGCCGAAAGCAGTCTGTGAGCATCAGCTGTGTGGGTAAAGCATTTCAACAACACCCTACACTCCAGAAGGCCTCTGGTCAGTGTTCTGCAATCTCAGATGATCTCAGACTGCACACTGATGGTTATTCTTTGTGCGTGCACGTGCAGAGGGCAAAAACTCTCCTCAGGGAACAAAGCTGAGAGGAGCTTGCAAGGATTCTGATGGTTGTAAACAAAATTTGCTATTTAAGAATAGGGGTCCCTCCAACTGAAACAGGACCTGTTACTAAGGTAAATGAATATATTGAGACTAATACCAACATGAGAGTGCAAAAAATTAGATCTGCAGTGCTGCAGGTAAACTCCAGTAGCAAAACCTGCTTCCCACAGTGGCACATTATAAACACTGAAACACGTGCACCTTTAAACAGAACAAGTATAAAACAAGTGTACAAATCTGTAATAAGTCAAACTTTACTGTAAACCGTTATACAATGTAATTACATCAGATACCTTTAAAAGTTTAAGGTAACACCACTGATTAAACAATATGGTCGAAACAGAGGGTAGCAGAATACAGCTGTCAGTTTTGCTCACATGGGCTATACTCTGAATTTACTTACAAACAAACCCAACATTCAGTTTGAGTGGATACCCACACAAGACAAAAAAAACCTACAAAAGAGTCCCTTTTTTAAAGACACTGCAGTTTTACTTTGTAAAACCATAGCAGTCATTTTCAGTAATTGAACTGGAAACTTTAACTAAAAAAGTTTGCACGCCTAGGCTGTAGATCTAGTCTGACTTGATGCAGCTGAATTTATGTGCTTTCATTACTGGTTTCTCCCGTAAAAAGCACAGCAAAGTTGCAAACAGGGGTTAGTCAAGCACAGTGTCAGAGATTCCTTGTGATGCTCAGCTCTCAGCAGAGTGGGAGAGCCCACACCTCCCTTCCCAGGCACAGCTGGAATCGGAGCAGACACCTGCCGGAGGGGATCACTTTGCATTGCTCTAATTTGCAACTCAATTTCTGAGTTTTCCCTGAAGAAAAGCTATAGTACATTTTAGTTAGCAACATTAACATACAGTATTTACCTACTTAAAGAAAGACAGAAGGGGACCTGAATGTATTAAAGCCAGACCTTGAAAAGCAGGTATTGGACAACACCAGTGTTTTAAGTTTACGCAGATGTGTCACAGGTCAGAAACAGTTAATACATTTAGGTTGACCATTCATGGTAAATTTGGTCTCCACCAATACTTTTGTGTCTCTTCTCTAACTTACAATCCCTTTCTCTTACTTTAGCATATACTACATAGCTTATTTCCATTAAACAGAATCACACTTTTTTAAGCACAGTCTGAATTAAACCTTTGGTATGGAGTTGTCCTGAAGTACGTTTACCAGGCATAAATTTAGAACACCCATTTGAGGACACTACAAATGTCATCATGTTGTAATATTATTACAGGATCAATTCCTTATGAAAAATTTATCTCAGACTGTGCTGCCAATACATTTCAACAAACAGTAAGACACAGTGAGGCACCAGGCACATACTTTTCATGCATAAAAGCTCTTCAGACAAGAGCACTTGTCCTACCTGTACCTACTGCAAGAATTCAAATTTTTATCTTACAAAGAGGAAAACCACCAATTTTACATTTTCTCTTTCACATGATAACAAAGAACGAATAGAAAAAAATCCCAATTTTTGTTATTTGGCTACGGTTGTAAATGAAATTTTTATCTTCGTAGAGAAAGATAGAGCTTTTCCCCTCTGAAGATATGTTCCTCCTGTTACTATTGTGGTATTTAAAATACTTCTGTCTCTTTGGCTTACAGTGCTTTACTACATCATCTTGCTAGGCTTACCAAAATCTTAAACCAAGTGACATTTAAGTACTTAAGACAGGAAAAAATTAGGTATTCATATACCTTTGCTACAACCATCTTCAACAAACTGCTCCATAGTGCTCTATACTGTTCTGTACTTGGTCAATAAGTTTGAGGTCTGATCAAAACAAATATTGTTACATGATTAAGGCCATAATTTTATACCAACACTTCACAGACTAAACATGAGGCTAGAAATAGAGATAATTTCGATAATTTAAGTAACTGGAGGAGGGAAAAGGAAGATAAAATGAAAGCTTGTACAGTTAAATTTGTGTGCGCTGCTCAGTTATCTCAGATGGTTGATGAGGACAGTGATGACGTGCAGTGGTATGTAGCACACGTTGAATAGCTTATTTCACTATCGGAAACAGAACAAATCCTACACTAAAAAAAATAAATGCTGACATTCGCGACAAGAGACAGTCCTAGCTCTTAAATACCTTTGGAAAAGTGAGCTGTATGAGATTATTCTGTTGATGAAAATGAATTCTTTGAAGTACTGTGCTTTTAGAGATATGCACCTGCCCAGTGGTAAATAGTCAAGAGAAGACGCAAGTCACACAATCAATGACAAAAACCCCAGAAAACCTAAAACAGAGGCAACACTCATTAGGGACATTTCCCCATCTCCCTCCCCTGCTCCCCCCTTCCCACCCCCGTTTCAGAATAACTCAATTCAGCTTCCATCGTCATTAATTTCTAGATTTAGTCTAAAAGAAACACTGCTACTTAAACTTATTGCAGTTATTACGTTTCAGTGCACAGTAATAGAGGTCAGTGGCTCAACTAAACTCGCAAACGTTAGGTTTGGTTCAATGTCCCTTCGAGCCGGCTGGACAGGCTGAGGTGTACCTGAAGTCTCAGACCACTGTGTTCACCTCGGCAGCCAAGCAGTGAAAAGGAACGCTGGAATAGTGAAAATAAGTACGGGAGCGCACAGTTCAGCATTTACTAAGGCCCAAGAACCCCATTTAAGTGGTCTGGATAATACATCACATTAAGACCTAATAAATCTATAAAAATGTAAAAAAATCTTAAAAAGTTCTGAGCAGTTTTCCAATGAAACTGTTTGGTTTAAGGCTTCAAACATTTCTCATGTCCAGATACCACAACAGATTTGCAATTAAGGTCTGCTGTCAACTCTTTGACACATCGCCTTGTCCTGCACATGGTTTAACTAAGCATGGAAAGCTGTCAGAAACAATCATTTAGAAAATACGCAAAGCAAAAGGATGTCACTGAAAACACATCTGCTAGGTTTCAGATCAGCACATGTTGTCAATTATCAGAAGACATACACTGAAAATCACAAAAACCCCATAGTAACAACTGTATTGTACCTCTTGGGTTTGTGTTTTTTTTTTTTTTTTTTTTTTTTACTACTGAAGGATAATCAGACTTGATGGAAATTAAACAGGAGAAATAAATTTTTTTTTAAAGCACATTAAATAGAAGACTGCTTTTCCAACAAAAAAACCAAGGGACAGAATTATTTGCAATATTGTAGCACAACTGCTTCAATCAGATCACAGTCCTGCACCACAGGCCCTATATAAGCAAAAGTGTAAGAAATGTTCCATCTCTTTTGGGTCATTTGAGAGGTATGCACAAGAGACTTGCAGAAACAGAAATAATTAGTCATCCATAGATATCCATTTCACAAATAACTGATAACAATGGATTTTTGTTACACACTAAAGTGCACGTTTGTCAAATACGCAAACACCACCTCCTATTAAAAAAAAGGTATTTTCAAATTATGTGGTCCAAAGTATACTTAGGACTGAATTTTTTGTGATATTTGGTGACTTCAGCAGTGACAGAGGGCTTTTCCCTTTGTAATCCCTTTGTCTTCAACCAGGACACAAGGATAAATAAGATTTTCACTACAAATCTTTTCACCTGTTCTGCACAAAAAAGGGAACTGCACCCTTTTTTCTGACAAAGAGACTCTGTAAATACAACTGTATGAAAATATAACTTAAATATAAAATAGTCAAATAGATCTGAGGAGACTTGGAAAAAAAAAATCTTTGTTCCACCTATTAGTTCCATAGGTACCCAGTAGCAAGTAAACATTTGTACTTAAAAAAATAACGTTAAGTTACAGCTTGTAACCATAACCTATTTTGCTCTAGGAATTATGCTGCAAAAGCCAGTTTTAGGAATAAAACACACACCTTTAACTTAGTTTATTCTGATGGTTTTTTGAAGACATCTTAAACTGTCTCATCAGTAACCATAAGTGAAAGATTGCTGTATCTGTTTTCTATGATCTTCTCTGAAATGTCAGATACAAATCCCGGTAGCGACTAGTCCTTAACAATTCTGTTTTTCACACATGACGAGAAAAAGTTCTTGCATAATTGGTCAGTGTGTCTGTAGTGCAACTGAACTGGAAGTCTTCCAAATGTCTGCATTCCGCTCGTAGACCTTGTTTTTAAGTCAGTTTGTATGAATAGGGAGATGCAATTGCAACATTAAAACCCACTGACTAAAGTTTTTGCCATGAAACCTGCAAATACACAGGTCAGGGAATGTGTCATACAGGCAGACCAAAACGATGCTTCTTTTTCTTAATGGGCTTTAAGCTGGTCAGTCTACGCAGGTCCTCTTCAGGATCCGATTCCTCCATCTCATCGTCTGCTGAAATAAGGATCTAAAACCAAATTACAGCTTATGAGTAACATGAATCAAAGTCATACTCTTTCTTCATTTTACTTCAAACCTTTTACTTTTTTTATGCTTGCAAAGCACCTTAATTAATAATTGCTCAAGAAAGAGCTTACAGAACATAATTTGGATTTACTGCCAGTGCTACTGAGTAACATCACATATCCTATCTGGAACCCCCAGTAAGTTTTGAAGAAGGATGCATGCCTGTTAGTCTCCACTACTATCACTGACTCTAAACCCAAAGAAGTGATTCCAGCACCTCCAGAACAGCAGGGGTGGCTTGTTGTCAAAGTGAGAGAGAATATGTAAGCTCTGTATCCACAAGGGTAATATGGCAATCATTTAATTAAAGAAAACCCCATATAAATAGTAGTCTATAATGCAGAAAAGTTACATTAACCAACTAAAGCTAAAACAACTTACCTTCAAAGATACCACCCATCCTTCAAGTGAACTGAAAACTTCCCACTTAATACAATTTAGAATAAAATTACGCTAAGGCAAGGATGTAAATACTTCTCCAAACGCAGGCCACTTGCCTCCACCAGCTTTCTCTCTCTTTAAGCTATCCATCTCTCTTTGAATTAGAATTGTCTATCAGCTCTGTATTGCATACGATTTTTTTTTAGAAGCTTTTGTAACACAGTTCATCTGTGATATTTAAATATATTATGATGTCTTCCTGCCCATCTGGAAGGAAATTAGCCATGAGTGGTGCAACAATGCCATTTTTCTTAACTGTTTTTCAATAGCAAATGCTAGGAACTACTGCTAGAGGCACATGCAAAGAAAATTAAAACTAGGTTGACAGTGTTACAGTGAAATCAATGGCATGAGGGATGAACTGGACTGATATTGCATTAATTGCAATAATTACATACTTCTGACTCTGACTCTTCATGGGATGCTGCTCTCCTGTATCGGACTTTACTTCCATTTCTTGAATCTTGTCCTGCTTCCTTTTCTTCAAGTTTAGCTTTTGTCTTCCCTTTCTTCATAAGAAAATTATCTACTACCCAGAACATTAATGCCTGTTAAAGAGAAGGGAGGAGTGACAGTTCAGGTTTCCTCAGAGTAGCATATGTTCATTTGGTCAGTATTCAGACAGAATTAGGAAAACTTGACAATAATTCTGAATTGGCCAAACAGCTAAAATCTTGTATAGGCAAAGAGCCACATGGCTTATTACACATTGCATGAATGCTCTACTTTATTCCTTGGTAGAAGAGAAGAAAATAAGAAAAGTAGCTGCTATTCATAGTGATCTTATATTATCTCTTCATGCAGAAATGTGAACAGCTTAGGCAGACATCTTAGTCTAACAGACTTTTGCTTCTCAAACAATAAAACCCATGCTTGAACAAATTAATGAAAGAAAAAAAAAATCACCAGCAGTTATGAAATGCAAAGGCACCCACTATCTCTGGCTTTAGTCCCTAAATCCCAGATTAGTGGATTACTTCAGGCAGGATGATTGTGCACTTGCCCTTTTCCTCTGCTCTATCATAGGCCAGCCACGATCAGCCACGGTCAGACAGGATACGTCATAGTACAGCTATCCCTAGACCAACTGAGTCCTAAGGAAAATTTCACTGTAATTTCTAATCTCTGTGTCAGTATTTCAGTATTACATGCAATCTACTGAAGCCATCAGCCCAAAGAGGTCTATGAGGCATTTCTGTGCCTCTCCTGAGCCTGGTTATTTAGCTCAATGTGGATTTTACCTTTGTAAAATCTACATATTCAGACATCTTATCCATTCTTTAACACCCTTCAACAGTTAACTTAAGCACCAAGCTACCCTGTGCTTAAGGATTAACATTAATTAACACATGGCAGAATGATATCCAAGTAAACATCTCTTAGAAGCGTGCAAGTTGTACTAACATTAACAAAGAAGGGAACTATCAGCATGACGATAGCCAGCTCCAACTGGGGGTTCTCTATAGGATTCAATAAAGCTACCTGTGAAAATACAAAGGATTAAGTTCAGATCATGGCAGCACGTGCACATAACTGGATTAGTAAATGCAATTGCTCACATAATAGCTAACACAACAGAAATCATTCACATGAACCAAACAAGGACATCTTTGTAGAAAAAGAAAGTACTTAAGGCAGCTTATAAATTACCACAGATAAGTAAGTGGGGCTGACAAGAAACATATCTCTGCCATTTTTGTTTACAGAAGAATGAAGAGCTGTGTTAGAATCATCTTGAACATTTTAGAGCTGTGCGCTCCCCAGGAAGATGTTTTAAGTTCCATCTCTAAGAAATTTAAACAGAGCAGAGTTTTACAAAATACATAGTAAGGAGAAGACAGAGCTCCCAGTGTAGCCCAGAGTATAAAATAGGAACTAACTGGTTTTAACGGGCTTTAACACCACACACCATCACTTCAATATGACATAGCCCAGACTGTGTCAAAATAAATATTATTGCAGTCATCAGCAATGGCTTCACTAATCCATTGCAACTCACTAAAATTCTACAGTCTAGATATATCAACAAGCTCAGGCAAAGAAAATTCTTTAAAACACTACAAGAAGCAAAACAAAATAACTGCAAGTAAGAGTTAAAGAATTAAGAAAAGGAAGAACTACTTAGGAGCTTCAAGAGCACTAATAAAAGGAGACAGAATAAAGTTTTATACATTGCATTATACAAAAACCCCTCTGAAATATGATGGGATGTTCCTGGCAGTGGATGCCAAAAAGCCTAATTAGCAGTATCCTAATCAAACTGGAAGAATGGACCATTGCTACAGAGCATGGAGTACCATTACTGAATGGCATCGACTGCAGACAGTTATGACGCTTGAGCCAAACTAATACACACTATTAGAAGTCTATCGCTTTGCAGCTTCCACCTGAAATTAATTTGTCTGTAAAAATACAAACCTCTTTCCATTGAGGTATAAGCAGCACTATAATGATGACGGTTTTCTCAAATGTCATAATCATTATGTACAGAGCACACTGGCCCACCCAAGCCTTGCACTGCAGTGGGTCACCTGCAAGAAAGAAGAAAGGTTCAATATATGCAAAGGGTTGACTTTACCTCACACTAAACATTTTAGAAAAGCACTATGAGAAAGGCAGGGCAGCTACATCCTCTTAAAGTGCGTTCTCCAATTTCATTAGTGCTGCTTTCAAAAGGTATCAGTCAGAAATGAATATAACACAACTTTATCCAACTCAGCAGTACCTGCTCACAGGGTCACTGTCTTACATAATCTGATGAAAGCAAGACAGATATAGTTGTATTACATTTGTTTTTCATCAAATTGTTATTTTTGGCCCTCTATCATGAAGCATTAAGTTTCTAAAAAGAGAAAACTTAAAGGAAACACACCCAGGGAAAGAAACCCATATTTCCCTTCAGACTAAGTAGAAATGGGATGATTTCTGACATTCTCCCTAGGCTACCTTAAACATATTTTTTCCTCTCTACAAAGTTAGTTACCACAACTAACCAATCATAATTGAAGCAACAGGTGCAAGACCTGCTATGAAAAATTTAACTGAACAAAAAATTAAGATCACATCCTAGTTTCAATCTGTAAGAGTTTGAAATTCTGCTGCATACCATTGGGGCAGAGTGAAAACCTGAGTGCAGTAAGTTATCTGTCAGGATAGAATGAAGACCACAAATATTTGAGCATGAAAAAGACTGTCATAATCTATAAAAGCAAAGAGACAAAAAAAACCCAAAAACCAAACCAGAAAAAAAAAAAGGAAAAAGAGGACTGGTATGCCTAACAAACTTTGCAGACAAGCTTAAAGCAGCACTTCACTTGAAACCAAAAGGAAGCTTTGGAGGGGGGTGCTAGCTCTTTAGTCTTCATGATAGCCTTCTGCAACATCTTCAAAGGCAGCTGAAAACTTTTAGCCTGGGGATGAATAATGGACAGTGGAAATTCAGATGCCTTTATGTATTTGTAATGCATAATAGATAGTTGCTACTTCCTTTTCTGGAACATTTCTGAAAGGCTTTCAGTATTAATACTTGGTAATAGTCTTGAGACTTAGTGTTTGCTGCTTAAAGGCTACAAAGAGAAACTGATAAATCAGGCTGGAGTCCACACCAAAGAAGACTTCCTAAATAAGTTTTACAATAAGAGATAACAATCAACACTCAATAGTCCAAGAAGAAAAGTGCTCAAGTGTTAGTTATCTACTGCAGTTCGTGGTTTCTGTTGTAAAAAAAAAGACAGAAAATTTGAAGGAGGAAACACCAGTAATTCAAAGTTGAGCAACTGTGCTTGTTCTGAAGATACAAGGCCTGAATTAAATTTGATAATTAAATCTTAACAATTAATTTCTACACTTCACATTTTTATTAGCATTCTCTAGTTTTCTTCATTAACTAGCAAATACGAAAAGACAAATCTAGCTTTAGCTACAGACTTACCATTGAAACATTACCGGTTTATTCTAAGCTCTTTTCCAGCCTGTATTTAACTTCTAAAAGCAAAGAGAGCTACAGCAACTTTACATCTAGTCCAACTCTGTCAGAGGAGATTTTGTATGTCCAAAAATTGTGAAACTCTGTTATATGAAGAGTGTTGCACACTATCCCAATGAACATTTTGTTCCATGACATTTCTGCAGCGAGGGGTGCTGTTTCGGGAGGATTTTTTTGGTACATGACTGAAATTAGAAGCTGTGTATATTAAATTCTACTTGGGGATTTTTGTGTGCCCTACTGCATCTGCAAAATTATCTCTCAGCTCTAGCTACAAGTGGGGAGAACAGGGATGCTAGCTACATTGAATTTACTAAGTCTTTAGTCTCCCAGTAGCATCTTTGTACATAAGCTGTGGAGGTATAGACTGGAGGGGTGGATGCACAACTCTGACGTAAGAGAAAAAAACTTTCACAATGAGAGTGGGTTAAGCACTGGAGCAGGTTGTTCAGTGGGGTTCTTAAATCTCCAACCATGGACAAATTAAAAACTGCACTGGACCACGCCCTGAAGAACCCGCTTTAATTTTGAAGTTAACCCTGCTTTGAGAAGGAGGTTGGATTATATGACCTTTGGAGATCCTTTCCAATTATTTTTTTTCTGTGATTTTTATAAACTACGCAATTCAACGGCAAAGTAGAAGTTAGTAACATCACCACATCTAGGTGGTGTTCCCAGGAATATTTGGTACATTTGTATGTTCAAAGATTCAGTACAAATCACTCAAATTAGAACTTCAAAGTTAACATTGAAGCCATAAAGCTCTAATTTCATTTCTAATGTCCCTAACAGTCTCTCCTGAATTCTGATTTTATACCTGTCATGTATAAATAGCATGTCTAGAATGAACTAGCAAATTGGTAGAAATCTTGTTACTGCAAGAAAAGTGCACTAAGACTGAAAGCGAAAAATTCTGAATCCTCAGCAGGGCCAACTGTAGCAGCATTGTTTGAAAATGCTGCACAACAAAAACCCAGTCTATGCTAGTGTATACTACCTTCATCAACCACTTTGTAGAAGCATGTTTACAGACAGCTCTTGAACAAAACAACTGTGATTCCTCTATCCTGTACCTTCTTTCTGTCCTTCAATTCCTGAGAAATTTTCTTAAGAAAACGCCAACTCACAGAACTACTGCAGAATAAGTTTTAAAAAGTTTTAAAGTGCTATCTACCCTACATGGCTATAAATAAGTTGTTATGCAAGTTGCAAAGAGTTAGAGGGAAGAAGACACATCAAATACAATTTCTAAGCTTTGTCATCAAAAGACAAGCAAAGAGGCCACAGCACACTTTAGCTGCCAGTAGAGCTCACGGTCACCAAGAGGGATTTAATCACCTGTTTTCTACTTGTAGCAGCTAAAGTAGCCTAAGACATGAAGGGAAGGAGAACGCAGGGAACATTCTTTTCAGTAGAGATCATGACTGCTTTTCTTCTCTTTACATAATCAAATATATTAAATGAATCTGCACTTCTGTTAAAATCCATCTGTTGATGTAATGAATCTGAAAATACAAAACTGGAAATATGAAGACAAATCTAATATACTTAAAAATTCTGACATCAAAAAGCCCTTTGAGGGAGCGTTATCCTACTATGTTCATAAATCGGCATGCTGTGCTGTTTTGCTGTACAAACAGGAACCATTTATGAATGCTGATATTTTGGTATGCATTCTTTCCTTGAGGCATTTACGCTTAAAAACTATCCTCCATATAAAGAAGAGGCTTTTAAAACCAGCGGGATGCTGCTATTTTTGTGACAGCTTCAAGCAATGAATCACCAGGGATCAAGTAATAGAGCTAAGAAGGGAAATGAGCTCACAGTGAGAATTAACTGGAGACAAATGATTATTTAGGTTCTAGAAACAAAAACAACATCGCTCAATCACACGAAGAGACTTGGTGGTGGTTTTTTTTCTTGGGGGAGTGAGGAGCCTTGTTTGTTTTCCACACTTGTAAACAAACCGAAATCACACTGATCTCCAAGCTGAGGACTTGACTTTAGTCCTTCAGCTAAAATGCCACAAGTCTCTGACACCTTTCAATAAGCAGACACCTCACCACCCACGTATGCTGAACACCCATATTCAACTTCAACATACTGAGTCTAGACACTTGCGACCTCGCAGCTCTGCATTTTAGTCCCCTCTTCTACCCTACTTAGTTATTTTAGAGAATTTTATGAAAAATGAGACAAGTTTTCTTCGTGCCAAAGTGAAAAATTTTAAATGCAATGGTGATATTAGGGTTTTCACTTCAGAAACAACAGTAGTACTTAACAGAAGAGGGCAGCAAACAATCCAGTGCAACTTGTGTTTTTCAGACAGATTTCTTAACATAGGGTCTAACCGTACTGCACAGCCATTACTAATAACTTTCCATCTGCTATCCAGTTCTCTTTATACCAGAAACCTCTCCCACATGATGAATGGAAACACAGATTTACAATATGCTTTTTAATAGTCCTTACAATAGCTTGATTAAAAGACCAACACACTAAGGTCAGGACAGCACATTAATGAAGATACAGAAAAGAAAGTTAGCCACTAATAAAATGATCTGATATAGGAAAGAGGAGCTAAGTAAGGAGGACTTATATAATTTCATACATCACTTATACACACCCACAAGAAATATTTGATAAACAAGTTGAGGCATCTCAGATAAAAGGACATTAAAATGGGAGAGAAGAACAGACCACACAAGGAAAGACAGAATGCCATTAGGAAGAAATACAATCCAGTATTTGACATGATGTGCAAATACCTACCTATAATTGTACAGATACACTAAGTTTTTTGCTCTGAGTGGAAAGCCAATTTTATATGGGCTGAAAGCTGTTCAAACATCTTCAAATGGCTTCAAGCCAAATCAACAATCAGAAAAAGGGACTTTGGGCAATAGCTCTCAAAGCTCAGTCAGAGGGTGTAGCTCAGCAATGTTTCAGCTCATTCCTTGCCCTTTTCCCTTCCCTGGGCATTGGTGCTTACCCCAATCCCTTAGAGACCCAAGTCTGGGGACTGAACAGAAGAAACTATTTACTTTTCTACATATGGTGAATTTTTTGACGGTTTAGCTCTCGGAATCAGTTCCCTGAAGAGTTGGATGTGCACCAGTCCAAGGAAAAGACTGGAAATATTGGACTATGGCACGTGGGAAAAAGCAGATAAACAGGGTTGTGTCAGTGCTGATTGAAACAGTTTAAATGGTCATAAACTGTACCTTAAAAAATACACATTAAATCCACATAAACCTAACAAAAAAATGACATAGGCAATTATTTCTCCTAAGAGATACTTGTCATCATCTCTATTTTAAACCTATTAATATGCAATTGCATCTGCACATCCACAATTTCTGCAGATCAGTGGATTTCTGTGGCTAATGTAATGGAAGATAAAACCCCCAACTTCATACAAAAGTTATTTCACTAGATTATCAGTTATCCTGTAAGAAACACACATGCATTTTTTTCTCAATGATACAAGCCCTATGTGCAGGAGTCTGAGTGTTCATTACTTGAGGACAAGCACAGGCCATCTTGCCATTCTCTCCACTGAAGGCATGTGGTTGCTTACTTTAACGGGGGCTGGCGCAACACTTAGCGTGTATCTTCAGACAATGACGTGGTTCACTGAAAGCTTTAATAGCAAGTGACCTTCCAGCTATCGTGTATTTAAAAGTGTTTCAGAGTAAATTTATCATGCTGTTTTTTCCATGAGATTAGCCAATATTGTAATTTGTTCAGTCACTCCTAAAAAAACAAATATTCAAGCAGTTGTTCCAAACTCACTAAGTGCTTAGAGGCTTGTTAAGCTTTCTAACATAGAAGGTGCATGCCGAGATACAGAACTTAGAAGAAGCCTCGTGACAAATTAAATAGTAAAATTACCACTATAATAATTGTATAATGACTAAGATCAGTCAACCATTAGCTGAGATGTCTGAAATTCTATCCTGAAAATAATTTCAGTGCAAGAAAGGAAACATTTACCGTATTCACCAAAGCGAAGGGAGTCCCACTGCTGCCATTCCACAATGCTGCTGACGGCACGTATACCAACATAGATTAACAGCATTCCTAATGTGGCATCTAACAAGAAGTTGATAAGGTACCTGAGAAGAAAAATGTAAAAGAAAACAAGGAGCCAGGGGCCATTTTCTACAAGTTCAGTGTATTTTAACACCACAATTGATAAAAGATTTGTATGTAAGTTGAGAAGCCAGAGTATTAAGAATAATAATTTACCCACTTCTGTAATTACATAGTTACTCTAAAACTTAAGTAGTTTTAGAAGAGTCTCAATATTTTGTTTCTATCCTTAAAGTTAAGATTCAACTTCTATTTTCATGAACTCTGGTGTGTGCATGTGCATACTCTATACAAACTCCAATATCCATTTTACTCCTTTTAATTTAAACCAGATTGCCTTTTTACCATTCCTCAGTTCATTCTGCATAGAAAACCTGTATTTGAACAAATTGGATTTGAATAAAAAGGAATAAAAGGAAAAGAAATAAAAAGAGAAGTTATCTAAAAGACACCTCAAGGAATTTGAAGGTAAAAAATCCAACCCAAAACACTTTCATTTTGAGGGGAAAGACACCACAACTAGACAGTTTTTCCTGCTCAAGGGAGCTGTCCCCTAGCCTCAACAAGCAGCAGAATACCGTGCATGGAGAATACAGTCACAATCTAGGCCAGTGTTAGGAAGAAAAGTAATTTACTTGTACTTCAGTTCTTGTCCGATAAACGCTTGAAATAACCAGGAACAAGCCTTCCCAGAGAAAAAACAAAACCAGCCATGAAACCATTCCCCAACAGACACACAACCGCTGCACTACTGATTTTATTGTTTCAAGAAGAACTTCTGGGATCTTACCCATGCTTCAAGAAACTAGAGATTACTACAGGTTTCAAAGGAATTCTTACTTTCATTAAATGGTGCAGTTGAAATTCAGAGCACTGTTTAAGTCAGTATGTTTTGTTTACTGCCATCGATTTTAAATGGACAAAAGAGCAGCTGAGAAAGATCTATAGGGCACACAGTAAACCCCTGTTACTGAGATTCTTGTTTGGTAATTCCAAATACTTAAGGTAGAGTCTATAGGAACTTATATGCAAGGATAAAAACAGCAAATCAGAGACCTGTGGGCCTCTGCTGGCTGCAGAGAGAAATCCACGTGCACAAAATAGTATCAGAAAGTGGGAAACAAAGACAGGATATGTACATTCAAAACAGTAAAGAAGGAGCTGCTCTGACCCTCAAAATCCCATTCAAGAGCAGCTCAAAAATAAAAATGAAGCAGACACGCCTTGCTTCAGCCAAGGCTTACCCATAATCTAAAAAAAATATTTTCCAATAGCTGTGTGTCAAATCAGAGTTTTAAAGAACCTCGTGCTAGACAAACATTAAAATCAGGGTTTAGTGTGGGCAGAGGAAACTCAGCAGTGACAAGACTACACATGTCACTGCGAGGCCACAAGAGGCTGCTGTAAGCCCGCAGCAGGAAGGCAGGCACCGGGAGCAGGGAGATGTGCCAGCACCGATTTCACAGCAAATTGCGGTTCACAGTGCAGGCAAAGCACGGCCGGTACTCCCAAGCACATCAGGCTCACTACATGCAGGCACCATGCCCATTGTGTGATGCACTGGAAATGGAACTGGTGCACCAGCACAAACAACAAACCAAGCTGCTGCCACCACCAGATAAATGCATTTGGCTGAAAGTTCAGCCAGCGAAAGGCTGGGGTTCACACAAACCTCCCAGTGTGCCACGGGCAGCCAGCTCGGTACCCTGCACTACAGAAGAGGGCTCTTTCCTTTTCCTATTTAAAATTCTTCAATCAACAATCCACCTGTCGAGTTGTTTTAACAGATGTTTTATCAGCTTTGATATCACCACACACCTGCCTGAATTACAGCAGTACGTTCCCAAACTAACAAACAGCAACTTCCATTTGTAGTTCTTTCCAAGCTTTGAACCACAATGTTTTCAGAACTACATTTTCTGGGTTTGTTCTAAAAATAACCCACAAGCTACAAAACAGGAAAGAACAGAAAACTATCCATATTTGAATTTGCTGAGTAAAATTATTATTTGAAGTCACAACAGAAATGTTGCTTTTACTCACTAATTTTAAGTCAATCACGCACTTAAGATACATTTTTCCCAGGAAAGAACAAGTGGCAGTGGCTGACTCAGCATGCTATTTCTTCTGCTAACAAGGAGGACACGCACCCTTGTCTGAGAAATCATACAGCTCCACACTGTAATTTTTGTTATCCTGAGAACAGTGAATAACAGTTCTCTACTTCATCCTCTTACTTTTTTTGTGTCGTTACACTTACATGAAAACTGGTGTTTGAAAATAGTTATTGTAGACTATATTAAAACATGTAGAAGAGAATGCGCATTAGCAAACCTTTTATTTTGAAAACTCAGTACACAGCACCACGTTACTTTAAATTTTGAAATACTGTAATAAACTATTGAACTTCAGCTTTAAACATTGACAATTTCAGACATGCTTTGTTTTGCTTACTTGAATATATACTTTCATATATAAAAATGGAATGAAAGCAATTTGCACCTGCCAGTTTTTAAATCTATCAGGAAATTCTTAAATCTGTAAGCAAGGCAAATCCTACAATAATGCCTGGTATTGTTGAAACTGTTGTAATTATAACTTAAACTTTACAGTTAGTGTGCTAAAATAAATGCATCTTCCCTACCAAAATGCTTTGTGGTGGGAAGGGAAAAAGTCTTATTTGCACATTTATAGCATGTAGGAACACAAAGGAAACCAAGGAGGAATAAGGGAAATAGAGCAGCCTTGCAAAGCACCACAAGCATATTTCTTGAGCTGTGTAGCTCCTTTGTTTACCAAAGGACAACAGCGAGCATATGCCATTGAAAGAACTGGATTGGTTTTAAAGGGCAAATTACTAGTCTTTTAAAAGTAATTTCACAGCTTCTATTACCAGGAACGTGTAAGCTTCTTTGAGAATGAGCTCCATCAAGAACAAACCCAAACAATTACCATTTCCTTCAGAAGCTCCTGTAAGGAGCCTGATGGGGTCTTAGTCATAAAATCTTCAGGTTTAATATACTACAGTGCAATGCTTATCTACTTAGTCACACTGCTCCAAGCGTGACATTGCAAAATTAATTTTTGTACTAACTGCCTGGGTACAGAGTAAGATTTCCTGCTTTTAATGGAATGAAAATAATACTGCAGTAGGTAATGTAGGTTTTAAAAGAAAATACAAGCATAAATGATTTTTGCTAAACATCCCTGAAAGCAACCTGACTTCATGTTAAAGCCCTGCTGCAGTGAACAGTGCAGCTGGAGGTCAGGGGTCACAACATTATATTCATTTCCTTTGGTCCCCAGCACCTCCTTCAGTAAACAGCCTCATATTACAAACATGCATTTTAAGTCCTCATTCATTAACTGGAGAGGGAGAAGTAGTAAGAGTTTACACCTGGTATAAAATATCTACATATAGCCCAGAAAAAGCTTTCCCAGGTCCTGTCAGCCATGGACTAAAAGACCAAAATTCTGATCCTTGATTAACTAAGCTTAAACAACAGGCTTTTGAAGGTGATTGATTTTGACCATGAAAAGTGGTTTCTCAGTTCTATCTTGCATTATCGTCCATGTACACCATCAAACTCAACTGCAGAATTTCCATAAAGACCAATTATTTTGAAATTAAACACTCACAGTGAACAAGGGTCTTCTTCTGTAAGGTCTGATAAATAGACGTTTGCGAAGTGGATGAACAACATCCCTATGGCTTGCTTGGAAGTATCTAAAAACCTGCATTGAGTAAAAACAGTTTTTAAGACGCACAAAACTGTTTACAACAGAGTCAGACATTGCAAATTTAATTAAAATTCCATCTCAGTTTTTCATTTTTTCTTCAAATGAGAACACCAGAATGATAAAATGCCATGGTATTTAGCTGTGCTGGTTTGGACTGGGACAGAGTTAATTTTCTTCAGAGTAGCTATTATGGGGCTGTGTTTTGGATGTGTGCTGGAAACAGTGCTGATAACACAGGGATGTTTCCGTTGTTGCTGAGCAGTGCTCACACACAGCCAAGGCCTTTCCTGCTTCCCCCCACACCAGCGAGTGGGCTGGGGGTGCACAGGAAGCTGGGAGGGGACACAGCTGGGACAGCTGACCCCAACGATATCCCACACCATATGCCATCATGCTCTAAAACCAGTCATGCTTTAAACTTGTACAGGTAATGTTGGCATTGCTACAATCCAACAACTTTCAAAAAGTAATAAAAAATATACTTTTCATACCTTGTATTCTTTTACAGTTTATGTATTTATATCCCATACTGGTTTCTATCTTATACATAGTAGGATAGCTATAGAACATGGAATTTTTTTTAAGTCCAGATGAGAGCTTCTTATAAGCTTATGTAAGTTTGTAGATGTTCAGACACACCTTCGGGCAACTAAGTTTCCATATTCAGGAGGAAGCACAGCTTGAAGCTTTATTTCTAAATGCGTATCTTTGTAGAGTTTCCTAAAAGTGTTTAGTAAGAAAAAACTAGCAGGGAAACACACAGAAGATACCTTTTTGTATTTTGGTAACTTTTTTTGTTCTTCATGGTCAGTTACCAACTTCTTGTCACCACTTCTATTTTATTTTTTAATCATCATATGCAAACAATCATTCCTTCAATTTCTAAAATACATACGAAACAAAAAAAAATTAAGAATAAAGCATGCAGAAACTTACCATATCTTCCAGGGACGTCTTTCATGCTTTGGTTCTCTGAAGCGTTTTACTAAGAAGAAAAAAGAACAAAATAATTGAAGACAATCACCAACCCCCAAAGCAACAAAAATACAGAAAATGAACGCAAATAATCTTGCATAAATGTTACATTATTTGATAGATTAGATCTTAAACAACTGCATTTCACTTTATCAACCCCTAAGGATTCATTTTAAAAAGAAACTGGCTCCCTTCCGTCACTTTCAAGTTCCTACAGATCCATCGTCTGTCTGCCAATATACCTCACATGAAAAAAATAATCTGTTACCGACCACCATTTCATTGGCCTTAGCTTTTATGATTGCCCATCCAGAAAATTTAATTTCCGATAGTAAAGCAGGTATTAGAAAAAGCCATTTCTTCTGCTCCCTGGAGACCAAAAGTCAAATTGGAAAGTATTCTCACAATATAGGGGCAATCCATAATCCAAAGTAAATCAAGTGAATTAGTAACAGGACAAATATATTCTCTGATGAAGTATATTTATCTTATGGATGACAAATTAGACTTTTGTGGGCAAAGTGATTTGCAAAAGGAAAGCAGGACAATTTTTTTAGTCAGATAATCCTTTCGCAAAAAGGTTGATACTTGTTACCATACTACAGCCCCCCAAAATCCAGTATTAAAATTAATGCCAACTATACAAAGGCAAAAAAAAAAAAACCAACCAAAAAACATTTGACAATTTCAATCTTGATACAGCTTATAATACGAATTCTTTGGGAATCTGCACACACAGAGGAGCACAAACGCAGGAGAACCAAAATCACACCCTCCCCAGCTACCCCCAAGCCCATCCCAGGTGCCACCAGCCCATTCCTGGTCCATCCCCACGACCCCAGAGGAGCAGAAGCCCAAAGGCAGATGGGGGAACACAAAGTACGTACTCGGAGGAAGGGACAGCTGTGCCAGGACAGCCTCAGCCTCACTGGCCGGGGGTGACAGCCCTCCTGGGGAGCCAGCTCCTGAGCACCTTTGGGAGGGAGGTGGTCAGTGCACCAGGGTACAGGACAGGTATGGAACGCAGGGAAGAGCACTCTGGGATTGCACAAGACTTACGAAGGGTTGTTCAGGGGAGGAACCAAAGGCGGGGAAAGGGAAGGATCTAGATGACGTGTGGAGGAACAAGCGTGGGAAAAGAGAGATAAGGGGATAAAAACAGTCACTCATACATTAACCGTGGCTGGTCCACACACTTGTACTGTCTGATCTGCAGCGCATCTATCTTCTTCAGAAATTCCATTTCTAACTTCTTCTGGGCAAGAAAACCGTTTTCCCAACTGGAAACATGTGCTCAGCCCTGCCATGGGTCAGACTTGGAGCAGGGAGCCACAACAGCCTCACCTCTGCTGGATCTAGCCTAATTCCGCAACACTGAATTATTTTCTGTTACAGCTGTGAGACACGAATGCTTTATATATCCCAACAACAGACCGAAGATAACAGCGCAATGGAAAACCTTTCCACTAAGGATGTTTTATATATGGGTTTTACTTCCATCTGCTCACTCAGTGTCACTCACCAGTTCCTTCAATGTAAGTCTTGAAAAAATAATTATTTAGGCTCTTATTTCAGAAATTATCTCAAAAAAAAAAAAAAAGAAATCTAAGCCCCAATTCCCCTCCTCCCCTTCAACTTGCAGAGATTCTGTCTTAAAAGGCACAAACCATAGCACGTATAGGTCAGGCAAAATAACAATAGGTATTTAACCTGCTTCTCCAGGTATTAGCAATTAATTTAAGTTTCAAATAGGATGCTGTACATAAGTTACACTTATCTAGCTTACAAGCCTTTAGAAAACATTTTGGTTTATAAACCAATCAACATTTTCACAAGCAAAGCAGTTTTCTGCAAAGCCAACCACCATCCTCATAACACACTGCATTAATATAATTACCTGAATGCCTAAAAAAAAAAAAAAAAATTCACCTCCAAGGTAGAGAGGCAGCATTTTCAGGGAGCACCAGGCTAACAACTTCCCATTTTACTGTCCGTCCTGTTACTGCTTCTGACAGCAGAGAGAGAAACCGTGTTTCACCCCTACGTAATACAACCATTAGAAATTAAAAAGTGGCAAGAGGAAAAGACCGTACATTTACACCAAAGATAAAGCTGTAATAGCAGTATTTGCCAGCAGTTTTCTCAGTGAACAGCATGCCATAAATAAAAAACTTCTGTTAAAAATGAGCAACACCCAGCTAAGATAACCAGTCTGCTGTTCATGACAAGCCCTCCCAGTCACCCTATGGATTACTTTAGTTGGTGTCATTTTTACACAACAACAGGAAGCCACAAAGCATCACAAAATAAATAAAAGAAACAGAAGTTTCAACTTACTGGGAAGTTTGTACATGATGCTTTTCTGCAGACAAAACCAAAATTAAACTGATAAGATGTACATAATTCAGGGGTGAGGGGGAAATTCCAAGCTTAGGCTTTGTCTGTTATCACTCTGAAAAAGTTGTATAAGTCTGTGGATTCATTTCTTTCTCTAACGTGTTCACCAAAAAAATCATTTTGGAAGAGGATATTCAAAACCAATTCAACTAACACTATTTCAAATTTTATCCACACTGAAAAAAAGACTTCAGAAGGTCCATGTTTCTCTGACCAATTCTGAAAACATAATATTTCATTTGAGTTAACATTAAACAGGAGAGTTTACTCTAGCCTCTACAGATGTCTTTCGGTAATGTATGAAATAGTTGTTCACACCACAAACTTCTACCCCCTCAAATGAAATGAGACAATCTGTTTAAAAGCTTTAGGATTTGCTACCTGATGAATATGTACCTGCACACTTGAAAGCCTCATAGATCCATATAAACAGGGTTGTTTTCTCAGCCTAGTTTCTTGCAGCTCTGTGTCTGTGAACATCAGATATTTCTGACACATGCAGGTATTGCCAGGTATTTTCTACATACCCCTGGAGCAGGATCCAGGTTATGCTGCCTACCCAGCACAAGATACTGTCACACCAGAGTGGTTCAAATCTAGAGCTGTTTAACTTCTCCCCCAGCAAGGGAGTGTGTTTTCTGTATGACTGTATACAGCTCGGGAAGGAGGTGAGTAAATTGAGCAAAAAAGCAACAGGCTGTAAATAACTGCTTTGGTAAGCTTAGGGTCTGTAACATGTTTGCTATTAATAAATTAATTTTGCAACCAAAAGCCAGCACACGTTTTAAAATAAAGATTCTGTAAACTTTTTAAGCAGAGTTAGGGAAGGCAATTCTTCCTTTTGCCCTCCCTGAAAAAATGTCATGATTGTAGACGCTCTCAGCTCCACTCACAGTTTCTCTTGGCAGTCTGCATTGCCTCACCGTAAACTCAGAGACGTGCACTGGTGCGTGTGTCAGCTGCCAGATGGATCTCAATCTGCCAGCTTCTCACTGTGAGGAGGTGGTACCACTCCATATGCTTCAATTCAGAGCATTATACTCCCACTAGCAAGAATTCACCATATTTAATATTAATTAACTAATAATGTTCGAAATTCATGCTGAATTATAAATGAAGAAAGAAGTGCTGCTTGTTTATATATTTAATGCCAGAATTTTTCAGGGAAGGAAATAAAAACACTTCTGCTAACAAGCATGTGAGCTACCAGATGGACAGATAATAGATAAGTGTATAAGGCAGAGTATCGCTACTGCAAAATTCAAGTTCATTAAATTGTCTTCCCTTTTCATTGAAATTCTAGGCACAATTCACGCCAGAGTACTGTGGAAGGGTTTCTAACAGCTACTTTAACACAGGAGTTTTGCAATCAGTATTCCAGGACACTGAAGACTCATAGGGAAGAATAAGGGCCATATATAAGAACAGAGACAAGAAATAAAGTAAAGCCTCTCCAAACTGTCAATGTGAAAAACAATTGAATCTGTACTTGGAATTCAGCCTTTCCTCCTCTCTCTCCTTCACCCTCCCAAAAAGTCCCACAGGAAATATTTTGCTGATGTGAAGTAACTTCTTAAATAGAACTCGAAGTTTCTGGATGGCTGCTCCTGTAGCAGAACAGAACTGGCCCAACTCAAACATTTGAAATGTTTCTATGTATCATCTGTTACTGCATTTCTTAAGACACATGTTCTGGCAGTTCACAGTAAGAATCTTTCTGACCCCAATAAAGGTCTAAGAAGATTTATCTAGCTCATTAATTTGAACTTCAACAAAAAGAAAACAAGCTGAAGAATATTCAATACGCTCGATGTCCTCTGCAGCTGTACTACAATAACACCGCTCATCTGAGGAGAGAAAGGGGAATTTCACCTGTTTTTCCAGTGCTTCTCAAAACTTACTAAAAAATAAGTCAAAGACAAAGCATGTGACAAAATGTTTTGTTTCATAAACCTTCTACACACTTCTCTCATCAGACCTGAGCAAAGCGACAGCTCAGCTAGCCAAACAGAAGGAAACCAGGAGGAGGAAAGGTTAGCGAGGGTAAGATCACCTTCGCATATGACACAGACAGACCTGCTCAGCTGCCTGGGCAGTTTCCACGAGGACAGAATCAGACCCTTCCTGCAGATGCACAGGCAATGGGCATGAGGAAACAGCCACAAGTTGCAGCCAGGGAAATTCCAGCATGACAGACATGAAAAATTTCCAAGAAGAGCAACTGAACTGTGCAACAAGTTGCCCAGAGAGGGTGCAGTGACTCCAGTCTCATAGAACTTGAAAATTCACCTGGACAATGCTCCGAGCCGAGGCCGGAGGCTGGCCCTGCTCTCAGGAGGAGATGGGAGCAGGTGACATTTGGGGTCCCTTCCAACAAAAATTAGGTTGTGAGTCTAAAAATCATCTTTCTTTGATACAATGCTTAAAAACTCGGAGATTCCCACAACAGTGGAAACTGTGTCTGTTATGAATACATACATGCACGCTAATAATTCCTGAAAATTCACACCAGCGTGCAATGACAGCTGTCAGTGAATTTTGTGTTACTTGTGATCTTTATCATAAGTTTGAACTTACCTCACTTTCCCACTAAGCAAAGCTTTTAAGAGGCTT